ATAAAATATATAATTTTAATTTATATATAAACTTCCACATCACATTTATTTTATTTGTGTTGTTGGAAGATTTAGTCACGTTTTTTATTGTTTGTTTGGTTTTTTTTTGGATTGTTAGAGAGGCATTTAAATTATATATTATACGTTTATAGAGATTAAAAGCGAAGCATTAAAATATTCATGCGCGAAATTATGCGATATTATTTGAGTGGACCGGTTAAGGCCAGGAATGGTGGGGAGAAGAGGTGATCTCGTTTGCGTAATAATCGGCTTGGAATGGAAAAACGACAATGGCGGGTCGCGGCGGAATGCGCGGCTTGTCGACGAATAGATAAAACGATAAATGTCAATCGCGACGAGATTGTATTGTAGTGTATTGTCTGCTTGAGAATTAACAAATACTGTCATTGGTTACAGAGGAGGCTCGAGAATTGAGCAAATTTGCGATCGTTAAGTCTAGCACGGCCAATCGAGATTTATTTGAGATATTAAAATCGAAATTTTTAATCCTTTGAAGATGGCAAATGTTTATCTTTTGAGATTTTTTTTTTCAAGAAACGGCAAACATACATGTATAAATTTTTTAACTTTAATCGATAAGCTTCAATTTTATGTTCAATTTTATGTTTTTTTCACTCATTTCTCTCCTGAAAAAATTTCGTTTTCTGATAAAATCAATTTGATGACTTCAGAGTTTAATTGGTCAAAGAGATTATCAATCAACATGCGAAATCAATTGAAACTGGCATTTTCTTTCTTTTATTAAACTTGAGTCTGATGGAAAAAGAAAATGAAGATGTAACATTTGTAGCCAATCAGTCAGAAAGGAAGAAAAGAATCAGAGTCAAAATAAATGTGTAGAGTATGATGGTCTATTGATTTCTTTAGGAAATATCGTAATTTAACACATTTTTAATTAAAACAATATTTTCATTAAATAAATATTTTTTTATAAATTTGATATAAGTGTGATTTTTTAAAGAGATAGCCGTCGTCCTCAAAGGATTAAAATTCGCGAATAATTCATATTGAAGGAACAGTTCTAGTAGAGGTTCATTTTTTTGCTCAGTTTTGCTTATTTCTCCCGTTGCTTCCTTCTGGCATTAAACCCGGTTATGGCGCGACAAGAACTTGGGTTCCGAGGTGGTCCTTTATGGCGTTCGACCGAGTGTGCGGAATGCGCAATTATTGGATACGACGATAAATACTAGTCGCAGAAGGAAAGATCACGTCAGTCGTTTCAGAAACGTGCGAATTTCTTGTGTCGAGAGGAAACAAAAGCGTGAAAGAAAGAGAGAGAAAAAGAAATGCGGGATTGTCACTTTCGCAAAACTTTCACATTGTCACGCGAAAAACTTGTTATTTTTTTGTCTTGTTGCATCGCTCGCTAGAATGACGTGATGCACTACAGAATTGATGCAAATTGCATCGGTTTTGCCAACGCTAGCATTCGAGTGGGATACAAGTACTCTTGCTGAATACATGTTCTATTTGCGTTAGACAGAATAAAATATTTAATGTGCGATTACATTAAAAATGAAATAATATACGTATATTTTTTTTAAAGTACTAGAAATACGATATGATATATTTATTTGAAAAATATATAAAAATAATAAAAAATACTAGAAATATATGATACTCAACAAATATACAAATAAAAATATTTTTTAAATATATTTACATATTTAATATATTTAAGAAATATATTTAAGAAATAATACAATGATAAATATATACACGTATAATTCGTTAAAATTAACATAATAAAGATTTAATATCACCGCGAAATATGAAAAGAATAAATAGAAAATAAACATTATGAATGAAAAAAATAAAATGTACGTTTCAAAACATGTTCTGGAAAAAAATATTAGAAACATTAGAATTTACATAGACATCTCTTATCCCACATTTGCGTAATTGCCGACTTGTCGTGAAATTGTTGGCGAATTTAAAACACTGTACGCAATTGTAGGGCAATTTTCTTCTCTCTTTTCCCTCGAACGAGAACCATGCAATGAACCACAAACGAAAGGATGCCACCGCCGAGATGACGTCGTCATCATTTGCCATCCCGAAAAATCCGCAGCTGTCGCCAGATGCGGTCGCGCGTCTTGTTTCTGTCCAGTGCATCATGCTCGCTTAGGGATGTCCCGAATTAAGCTGTCTCATTTCAGGGTTTGGGCAATTCCAAATACATCGTTGCTAAATTTATCCCAATTTTTAACTTTATTTGCCCGTCAAAAAATTATTCCCCGAACTCTCATTTTGAATTAATCGCAATTAATACAGCATATTCGCTCGATTAATCGGATTGCTCGCGTGGTGAGCGTGCGTTTCATGCATAGACTCGATTTATTCAACAATTTAACGCTCGGCTAGAGCCAGCTCGCGCCCTTGAATTTCGAAGAATGACCAATGAATCGACGGCGGCCGTTTACGCTTTACGTCTTACGCGCGATTTTCTCGTGCGCTCCTCTCGGATCCTTTGGCGAGGCCGAGTTCTCTCTGCGATAGAAATACGATCGTACGAAGCGATTATTTCTTTGCGGCACACAGAGCCTGGATAATTGCTATCTCGCTTATTGCGCCGATCTCTCGATCTCTCTCTCGCGTTTTGGTCAGCGAGTATTTGGAATGGACGCAGTGGCGTAAGCTCGAGTTTGCGAATTTTAGAAATTTTAATAAGTACAGGAGAGAGGAAAGCAAAAGTTTTTTTTCTAGATTTTTATCAGCCGTTTCCTTTAGATTTCGTTATTTATAAATTTCGACAAACGCATATTGTAAGATTGCGGCTTAAAAAATATCAAAAAAGGCGACATTAATTCACAGAAATATCGAATTTTTAAAATTAGCTTTATTTTAAATATCAAATATGTTTTCATATATTATAATGAAAATTTCATATATTAAAATGAAAATTTTTAATTATACAGAGTGTTTTGAAAGTAAGCATTTACGAAATAAATATTTATTTAACGATGTAGCTATAATTCAGCTAAAAATGTCCCGTGCTTCTGTAGCGGATTTTTCTCTTTTCATAAAAAAAAAAAAGGAAAAAAAGGAGACCAACCTACGCCTCTGACGTGAGTACTCGTTTCGCAGTCAAAGAGTTTGCGTTATGCAGAAGAGCATTCCGAGTAGTTACTCGAGCTCAATTCGACCAGGGCCCCGGTGCCTTATTAGAATTTATAGTCAGAGTATTTCAGAAAATTGCACATTGCCGCTCTCAGTCGAGTATTTCCTAATGAATCCGGGATCACTTTTCTTCCTTTCATTGTCGAAAGATCGTTGGCAACTTTTTACCCTTGAATCGCTGACATCAAACTTTCGAGGGTATTAAATTAAATGTATTAAATGCATGGACACGAAGCTGGTATTATTTTACTGGAAACTCGTAAATTGTTAAGAGCGTGTTCTTTAGCTTTATTTCTAATAGAGAGAGAAGAGAAAAGCTCTGTTATAGTCTTTGTTAATTTAGACAAATTATTCTGGCTGTTAAAGAAAGAAATTGCCGCGAAATGCCTGAAGCGCGAAATAATGTCTCTCGCTTTGTCCTCGCTTGCGAGTCTTTGCGTATAATTTTTGTCGGATGGTAAGAAATTTATAGTTCCATATTTTTCAATTGTAGAAAAAGTTTCACCTTTTAAAAGGAAAGAAATATCGAGCATATGTCCCAAAGATGAAAACTTGCAGGTTTCAGCTACAGAATTATTGAAAGTAAAGCTAAAACTCGCGATAATTTATGAGTTTTCATAAAACGACACGGTTTCATATAATTCGAGATTCATTTAATTCTCAGTCTTTTTATAATAAAGTATTATTATAACGTTGCTAGTATTTTTATAATATTTCTAGACCGGGTATACGAGATAAAATATCATTTTCTCATCGAAACATTGAGCAGAGCGAGGCAGTTAATTCGTCCATTTTGATAACGCCTTGTCATTATCAGCGACATAGATACACACACAATGTGTGAATTACGTCTTTGCGCGCCACAATATATTTCACTTTACCTTTTACCTTCGTTATTTATCGCGCGTTGTGTCTACCGCAAGTTTTCCTCCCACAAATGGCTGCTCCGAGTCGAGCCTCACAAAGCGTTTCACCTTAAGATTTACTCACGCGTCGCCGCAATATCGTTTACGGCCTACAGAAGAGATAGAGGGAAATAGAGAGGGAAGGAGAGAAGCATGTCTCGTAATAATATCGGTGTAACTTAGATACGGAGCGAGTTATTACGTGCCTCCGCGCGCGGAAATATGTTAATACGCCTATTTCTTAATACACGACAACCGGTAATGATGCACTTTGCCTTATGGGATCGCGCGCAGGCAGATCGATCGATCGATCGGAACGTGTTTTCGATGCAGCCAATATCCACCAAGAGATGCAAAATTTTTCTGCCGGCTGCGTTTAACCCTGTGCACTTTTCCAGATAGACTCGGCTAAGAAGTGTACCGATGAGAGAGAGAGAGAGAGAGAGAGAGAGAGAGAAAAAAAGAGAGAGATCAAGTGAAAAAATCGATTGGAATTATGCATATGCATTTGCTAATGCGGAATAATAATAAAAAGAAAGGGGAAGGAGGAATTTGACATACTTTATCGATCTAATCCGCCTGATTGGTGCAGCACACAAAGAAACTAATTTATCTAGAAGCTTTTGTGGAATAAAATTTAAATGATTTCTTTTGTCTTTCGTTTTTTAATATTATACATTTAATATTATACCTTTCAGTATATTAGTTATAATGAGAGGATAGGAGTCTTGATTAAACAAGCTAACATGGGATATTTTTTCCTTCCATGGAATACTCGGAATTCTCAGAAAATTCTCGTGTATTACCTAGAAAAAGAGGAATTTTCAGGAAATTCTTTTACAATATTTGAATGGATATCTTGTAATAAATTATAACGTGATAACAATTTGACGAATTTCTTTTTTTTTTGTTTACGAAAAGGCTCTCTACTAATCTGACTCGTTAATTTTACAGGAGGCAGCAGTTGGAGCAATCTGTGTACGAGCCCGAGTCGCGGCGATCCACCACCGTGGAAGATGACAGACAAGGCTCCAATTCGGAGAAAGTCAAAGTGAGTTAATCGCATTAGTCTCCAACTGATTCTATTTTAATTAAAACTTTCTCTCGACGCTTAGTTTGTGATTACGTTTAATTAATGTGTGAATGCGATCGTGAAAAGAAAAGCGGGAGAAATAAAAGAAAGGGAAAAGAGACGCGCGATTCAAAGACATTCTGAAAAATCTGTTACAGAGCACGACGCAAGATCTGTTCGAGTTGCTTGAGCGAGTGCAAAGTTCACGTCTCGATGATCAACGCTGCGTTCTACCGTCATACTTTTCTCAGGTATGTGTAATAAAAATGACATTAAAATACAGCAGGAGGATTTTCGGAGTAAGATCCTTATAAAACGTGTAGAAAATTTCTATAGGCCCGGTTCCACAACTCGGGTTAATCCGAGTTTAAACTGGGTCCTGATTGGTCCATTCACTACTTAAACTCGGATTAACTAGAATTGTGCAACTGGGCCATCGAAATAATTAAGCCTCTCGTTTACAGCGTCTCTTAATAATAACTATATATTTATATTTTAAAGTAAAAATATTCACGATCATTATTGCTCAATTTAAAGCGACTTATGACGTATAATACTTATGCGATACCGGTGCCCGTATATCTCGGAAGAACTGTTATTAACCCCTCGTTTTCAAATATCACGCGTTTAACCGCGATCTAACGAGCAGTTCAAAAGCTGAACTATGTCCAAATTTACGACGCTTTGCCTCTATCTCACGCCTTTATGGTCAATTTAATCCTAAGTAATCGCTTCGACGCGCCCGATATGAGATCAACAATCGTCGCCAAAGTTTCACGTTCGCGCGTGACCGACATTATAAATATATATACGTGTCTGGGAGATTAAAAATCAACATGTCACGATCCACAATAAACTTGTGTATTACTCGAAGAAAATTTTACAGGAATAAGACGAACGTTTTTCTTATAAAGTTTAAAAGTTTACAAAGAAATCTTATAGTAATAATCCAAAAAATCTTCCCCAACTATTTTTATACGCGATGAAACAGCTCACCAAAAGGAACGATTAACTCGTTTAATTTTTTTAAAAGAGATAACTCGCACTTTTCCAAGCTCATTCATTCAAATTACTCTTAATTGTCCGTTTCTTGCGCGCAATTATCGTCGAGTCGCTTATGTAAATCTCGCGTGTGCGACGCTGTACGCATTTGTTGAAGGCGACGGCCTACTCGTTTGCGCGCGAACGAGCCGGAGATGAATGGACAACGCGAGCGAGGAGGAAAGGAAGTCAAGATGAATGAACAACGCGATTCGTCACGGTTGCCGGGATGCAGACGAAAAACTCGAGACGAATCGCTCGTTTCCCATCTGAGACAATTTGTTTTCGTTTCGGAAGAAGGTGAAATTGTCCCAGTCACGTGTTAAATTGGCGTGTTAAAGAAAACATTCTTTAGATCGTAATGGAGGAAGATGCATTCGGTTCCACGTCGGGTTACTACTATTCTATGATTGAACTTTTGGCATAGAATCGAACGATACTCTAAAAAAAAGAATGATACAGAATAATTCAGAAAAATTGCGTGTCCTGTCAATAAAAAAATACTAAAGAAAAATATCAATGTTCAAGTTAAGTTTTTAGAATTAAAATAAATTGAATTAAACGAATTAAAATTGAAGTTGAAGAGACTTTCTTGTATAATTAATAAAATGAGCAATTAACGATAAAGTATCAGAAGAAAACGAAGAATTATTTAATATTAAATAAGATTTTCATTAACATTAAAACTTTATTTAATATTAAAAATGAATCGTATGTAATTAATAAAAGCAGTAATTATTAGTAATGTATGGCAGTTGGAGAATTATTTAATATTAAAATTTAATTGATATTTAAACGAATAAAGTCTTTCCGAGTAAAACTTCGCTTTTTTAAAATTTAATTAATTTTTTAATTTAATCTAAAACGACAGGGTCTTAGGTTGAATCAATCATACTTTATTTAATCAATCGTGACAGTTCGCTGGAGTTCGCTATTTTATTGTCGACTTAAGTTGGATCTTTTTTTTTTAATGACAGAAATTAAGAGACTTTTATACTCGTGGGAAAAAGTAGCGAATACGCAGCAAAAAAAAATGATACGTCTGCAGGAAGTTGCGCATATGGGAACTGCTTTCGAGAAATATTACGCGTTTCTCGTTCTCTTTCTCGTTGGCGAATCGCGATCCGGATTTCAACATACACAAACTACTGTAATCATCTGTATGCCACATGCTATCCCAGCTCGTGAGAAGCAGTACTCTTTTTTACTTACCGAATTCGCTCCTTTTTTCGCGGTTACTTCACATCTGCCTGATCGGCAGATATAGTTTTGCGGCCGATAATGCAGAACGTTTTGATAAAAACTATAGGGAATCCCTATTGTGTCGACGGTACACAACGATGTATCGACTTGAGATAAGAAAGTGGTTGGTAACAAGATTTTCTTTCTTATCAATGACTAAAAAAATATTTGACATTGTTATATTTTTTATATAAAGTGAAATAAATACATATAAATTACATATTGATAAAAAAAAAGAAAACTATTGAAACCGTTTAACTCGAAGAAATTTTAATCTGTATTTTTATGTTGTAAATTTGGCAATAGTTTTTAATTGATATACTTAAAAACATAGAAAATTTGTTAAAACTCAGTCAAATATTTTTTAATATTAATTTAATTAACATTAGGGAAAAATATTTAATTATATTTAATTTTCATTTTAAAAGAGAGAGGAAGAGAAAGTAATGTTTTAATCATGTCTTGTATTTTCTAAAATTGCGTAGAGATTTTTTTATATTATTATTTAGTGATTTTGCAATAATTATTAAATGAATATTTATTTTTTTAATAATAATATTATTGATCAACTCAATAATAAATCAAACAATAATATCATCTCATTTATTCAAATAAATCTAGTAACGAAAATAATTTACGATTATCTATTAGTGTATAATGATAAATAATTATCATTTATTTATAGTTTTATATAATACAAAAATGAGATATTTCTTCAAGTAGTAAATAATGATATGATTTATTGTATGCGAACCGAAACGCGTCGCTTATTCGCGCAACGCGATAAAATGAGACGCGCACCATTCGAAGGGCGAGGCAAGGGGGACGCGACGCTTCCGGTCGACCAGGTAAGCGCGCCGGAAGTTGCCGCTTCGAGCTGCGTCGTCCTGTAGTCGGATGGACGGGAAGATTTTCAGATTTGTTGCCCTCTGCGCAGTGGCCGTGAAGATTGTAGATTTCGTGCACATGGGTCCCTTTTTTCACAAAAGATCGTCATTATTGTGCTGTTTGTGAATTACGGCTGGGAATAATTAACTGGGAAACGTTGCGAGTCGAATGAGTTAAAAAAAAACGAGGATAAATTTATATTTAAATTTATATTATTTTTACATTTCAAAAATGAGTAAATAAAATTTGCATTTACAAAAAAAATGTTCTGGAAACTTGGAAATATCAAGCGATTCAACTTGAAAAACAAATGTTTCATGAGAAAATTTTTTTCCATTCTCTCTTTCTTTATATTTATTATAATTTGCATTAATATCTTATTACGTAATTTTTTCTTTCAAAGAATAGAAAAAATTTTCTCCGAAAGATTCGTTTTTCAAATCGATTCATTCGATATTTCAGAACAATTTTGTTTATATATAAAATTTATTTATTCATTTTTGCTTCCCTTTCTTTCAAATGTAAAATTATTAATTTATTTATCTTTTATTTTAACTCATATCTTGTGACGTTCTCTTGTTAATTATTCCCAGTCTAATAATAGTTATGATAATTGAGTTACTTGAATACAATTTTTTTCAAGGATTTTTTTTACTTCTGATCTTTGATTTGCTAGTAACAAGCCGTTATCATGAATGTTAAACGCATGGTCGCCATTGATAGCGATTTAAATCGACTGCAGCTGCTACAGCTCGTTAATACTCGTTATCTCCCAACTAAACTCCAATAAAAAAAATCGATATTGATATCTACTACGCGCTCATCCATTTTCGACTATCATTTCTTTCCTTCTTCCCTTTCTCTCTCTTTCGAGTTTTATACAACTAATCTTTTGCCTAATAAAAGATTAATGTGTATCGTGTAATCACTATGTATCAGCAGCTCTCTGGCAATCGGTATAATTATCACAATGTCGGTATAATGACACATTTTATCCGGCGATAATTCGAAATCGATGAAATGAAGCGAGTTACAATTTAATATCCGATTCACTCGCTAATCCCATTCCAGTCTACAATTCTATTCGCTCTCTAATCCGATTCTCTCAAATTCGATTTCATTCACCATTATTCGTGCATATGGCGCAACATATTTGTCCGATTGCGTTTAAATCTTTACAAGTTCCTCTTGTTTTCACTAGAAAAGAAGAGAAATACATAATTGATCGTAGAGGCGATACTCATCTGTATTCATCTACCCACCCACTTGTGAGGTGTACAATTTTGAAGAGTCGCGTATGTAAATAGCGAGAGGGGGAGGGAGGAATTTGACGCTTTCGAATTTTCGGGCACGGGAAGTTGGGAAGCGAAATAACGAAACAAAGAGACGCGAACACAAAGAAATGAGAAGCCTCGTCGACAACGAAGTAAGTCGACCACGAAAGGACATCCGGCTCTCTCTCCCTCTCTTTTTCTTTCTCTCTTTTCGTGTCTTTTCCTCTGGTTCTCCCTACATTACCACAAACTCGGCGTCCGTTTCCTCTTGGTTTCACCTTCCGCACCACCTGTCCTCACCATGCGAATGCCAAGGGGTTCACCTTGCTCTTGAAAGATTCTCGTGTACGCGAATGAATTTCAACTACGTCAGCTAATGCGTTAACGAAAACTGTCATTTCTTATAAAATTTTTTTTTTTACAAATAGAATTCAATCTAGAAGTCTGATCGCACATGATGATTGTCAATGTTGATGTAGAGATTTTAGACAAGAAATAATTTAATTTTGTATGTAATCATCTTCTGTCAGATGTAAAGTATTTGTCGAAGCCAAAAGATTGTTCGTATTTATTTTCTTGTTTAATATAAAATTGTTATGTGAGATGTTTGAAATGTTTCGTGAAAAATAGACATTTTACGTTTGACATTTAATGGGATAAACTCAAAGCAAAAATATATGGAAGAAAAGAATCGATATCGCAAAAGGGACCATACATTTTTTCACGTACAAAAAACCTATAAAAACCCATAAAACTTTCCAAATCACGTAAACGAACGAAGTGAAGAAAGATTCCGCATTCGGATA